TGTTCTTTGCCAAGTGAAAATGGGTTTCATGACTTATGGCAGGGGGTTGGACTTAATGATCTGCTCAGGTCCCTTCCGACCCTACCAACTACGAAACTATCTTCTGAGACTTTTTCTGTCACTTCTTACACTGCTATAGACAGTGTTGGACTGAAAAACAGCTAGTACACTGGATTGTCAGTGCTGTGGTATTAGCTAGCCCAAAAACTAACTAGCTTCCATCAAGACTTCTGTGGCTGCTATTAGAAATCTTGCAAGTAAGGGAAGCTAGTCAATAGCATGGCTAAAATTTGCAGCCGTGAAAAAAGGAAAGGGGGCAGCCTGACACGGACTATAGCAGGGGTGGGCAATTATTTCAGGCAGAGGCCTGCTTACCAAGTTTTGGCAAGCCATCAAGGGCCACATAACAGGCAGCCAGGGGCAGATAATTATTAATTTTCTAAACACTTCAGGGGCCCTGCAGGCTGGACAGAATGGCCTGGTAGGCCACATCCAGCCTTTGGGCCACATTTTGCCCACCCCATGACTATAGGCTCTGTCAATTCTAAGGCTCCTAGTAGCAGCCCTTGGACAGCTGCTTCCCCTTCAGCCTTACTGGCCCCAGTTACTATACAACTAAGTGGCAGGTAATCAATTTACAACTTTATTAGTGAATGTTAAAAAGTCATAGTTATTTACATGGCTTTGTAGAGATTGAAGAGAATGTAAGACTCTATTCCTGGTAGCTACATGGGACATAGATTGTATCAGGATATGCCTCCTTGGACCATGCCAAGACATGCAGTTGAGCACACAGCCGATGTGAGCCTGAGTATAATGGGTTAAGAAGTTCCAATGCCATGGGGTGAGAGGAAGAGAGCTAAGACCCCACACATGGTCACTGCACTAGTACAAAGTTGCAAGGTGGCTGGACATTGAGACCATGGATTTAGCTTGCAGTGCATAACTGCCAAACAGCAGGGGCCAAAGACGCCAGGCACTTCAGTTAAAGCAGCGGGCTTCCAGAAGTGAGAGGCACTCTCAGAAGATGCCAGCTTCCCTTTCCCTTGGTTTTGGATAAGGAAAATAAGGCAGAGACCTCAGAAAGACCGGAGCTGGGCAGAATGCTTGCAACACCAGGAATCCCTATGTGAAGTCTTGGGGTTTATCGTAAGGCATAGCTAGCTGTGCTGGTCTCCTTATATTCTGCTTTCCGCACGTTCTGTCACAGCATCTGATGAAGTAAGCTATAGCTCATGAAAGTGTGCAATATAATCTCCCAACATGAGGTACACCACACACCCCGTGGTTGAGAGACTGCAGCTCATGACAGACATGCACGCACATACAACAGCAGATATGGCAGAGGGAAAAGGGTAGTGGTGATGCACTTGACCTCCTTCTCAATTCCTGCTCAACCCAAAGTTTAAAATGAAGTGCCTGGCAGTGATAGAAAGACTTCTATTCAGGCAGTGATGAGAGAGTCAACTTGATTTCATGACTCATTATAATTACTTGATTCTTTCCAAACTCTTTATTCCACAGCTGTTAACAACCTTATCTTTTTAATGGCCTTAAATGTTCCACTAATCAAGCTATTATTTCTTCCACAATTCTGCTGTCTGCTAGCTATTTCTAGTAGTGTAGCTCCTACTCCACAACCCTGCAGACTCTTTTTAACTCTAGCTAAAAACATTAAACTCTAGTGTGGAAATAACTTTTGGGGCCCTATTACAAGTGCAGGTAAAGGCATGATGGATCGGATCTAATGCAAGATTTACACAATAATGCCTCCTGCCATGACACACATGCATGGCAGAAGGCATGATTGTGGGATTGGAAATCAGATCCCACAATTATCGGTACAGGAGAAGCACAATTCTGGACTCCCCCTGCACCAGCAAGAAGCAAGTTCCCACAGCTGAAAGTATACCACAGTTGGCAGGGCTCCCAGTCACAAAGATGCACCACACATCCAACCTGGCCCCGCTCCTCCAGCTGAGACCACAGCTCGTGTTCACCCCAATCAGCTGATGGGCTCCCAGCCACTGGGGCCCTTAGCCGCACATTCAGTTCATGACATGACAGGAAGCAGCCACAAAAGTTATTACACATTTTGTGGGATAGAGGTTTTAGCTGTGTTAATCAGAGAACACAATACAAGCAGTCAGAGTGCAAGAGGCAATATCTTTTATTAGACCAACTAGACAGTTACAAAAAAAACAAAAAACAAAACAAAAACAAAAAAACCCCCAGCAAAATCTCTTTATTTGCAAGCTTTTGGGCACATGTGCCCTTCCTCAGGCATAGGAGAATGCAAAGACATATTCACAACATTTTCTGGAATAGCTTATTCCTCTTTTCATCATACCACTTATTGATTGAATTTGCACCCAGGTGACCACTCAAGGCATCATTAACCAGTTAATTACACCCGAAGTATAATCTGCAGCTCGGTCTTTAGTGAAGCATTGGCTGCACTATCAAGACACTAAAGGCAGGTTGACCTGATTTTACAAATCTGAAAAAGGAGTGCATTCAATCCTCATGACCACAGGCCTAAGGAAACAACATCTTTTGACTTTCGGGGTTTTTGTTTGGGTTTTTTTGGGGGGGGGGGAGTTGCCTAGCACATAGCATTTCTTAATACTTAAAAATTTGGGGGGAAGTGAGCATGCTAGCAGGGAGTGAGAGATTGCAGAGGGATCTGGATAGGTTACAGGGGTGGGCTAACAGGAACAGGATGCGTTTCAATACGGACAAGTGCAGGGTGCTGCACTTGGGCAGTAGGAACCAGCAGCACACTTACACAATGGGGAACTCCCTACTTGAGAGCACGGAGGCAGAAAGAGATCTTGGAGTCATTATTGACTCCAAGATGAACATGGGCCGACAATGCGAGGTCATGGTTGGCAGGGCTAACCGGACCTTGTCGTGCATCCACAGGTGCATCTCGAGTAGAGCCAAGGAGGTGATCCTCCCCCTCTACGCGACGCTGGTCAGGCCACAGCTGGAGTATTGTGTCCAGTTCTGTGCGCCCCATTTCAAGAGGGATGTGGACAACATGGAGAGGGTCCAGAGGAGGGCCACCCGCATGATCCGGGGACAACAGGGCAGACCCTACAGTGAGAGACTGCGGGACCTGAACCTATTCAGCCTCCACAAGAGAAGGCTGAGGGGGGACCTGGTGACCGTCTATAAACTCACTAGGGGGGACCAGAAGGGTTTGGGGGAGACGCTGTTTCCCCTAGCGCCCGCTGGCATAACAAGGAGTAATGGGCACAAGTTGATGGAGAGGAGGTATAGATTGGACATCCGCAAAAACTACTTCACAGTTAGGGCGGCTAGGAGCTGGAACCAACTTCCAAGGGAAGTGGTGCTGGCCCCTACCCTGGGGGTCTTTAAGAAGAGGCTGGAGGCCTACCTGGCTGGACTCATTTGAGTCCCGTTTCTTGTTTTGGGGTTTTGTTGTTCTCCTGCCCTGGCGGGGGGTCGGGCTAGAAGATCTACTAGGTCCCTTCCGACCCTAAATCTATGAAATCTATGAAACACAGAACGTGCAACAAAGACAATCTATACCCACACCAATAAAACTGCATTTGCTTTCACTTGCAGTAAAGTGAAGAATGCAGCCCTAGGTCTCCCCTCACCCCCAGCAAAACATCCAATTTATTTATTACCTGGAGAAAAACCTGTGTAGTGTTATAGCCCCCTGCCATCTGTTCCCCCTTTGCAAAATCCTAAATCAGCCTGCAGGTGAACACATGCACACACTAGTTAGTTTCTAAGGTGCAATTCTACCCTGCCTTTATCTTGTGATCCATGTGTGCCCACCTCACAGCCCTAGCAGTATGCAGTCCCCCTGGGAAGGGGGGCTCAGGGCACCCCAGCCTGACTGAGCGCACCCAGGGTAAAGCCCACAACCTATGCAATGGGCTCAGGCACGGGGCTTCCTGGTGCCACAAAGGGAACTGGACTGCACTGGCTGCTTTCACACCCAAGGGGTAACTGGCATGTACCCAGAAGCACGTGCAGGTGCAGGGCACACAGCTTCTTGCAGAGTGCTGGCCAGTATTGCCAGGTCTTAAATGTGAAGTTATTGATTTGGAAGCTCAAAATTATTGTATTCACTGAAAAATTATCATATACTATATACATATATATATATATACACACACACACCCCTTCTTACTTACTTCCTGTTGCTCACTGTAACTCGAGTGAGTGAGTTTAGGTTGAAACATTCCTATATTTGAAGGCAAGCAGTCATAAGGAAGTGCTAATAGTAAAACTAAAAGCCAGTTAAGGCTCCCTGGGAATGACTTGGGTTGTGCACATGAGGCATCACTTACCTGCCTCAAAACTCCCGTACGTTTTGAACACTTTTACTATTGGTGATAGTACGTCAGACAGTGGTTGACATTATCGTGTAAATACGGTAGCGACGGTACGCCTGGCGCACGCGCAGATCGCAGCTCCGCCCCTGCAACGCGAGGCCACGCCTAGAAAAAGCTGGAGCTCAGAACGTCTAGCCTCCCAACCATCCCTCACGGCTCAGGCGCACTGGCTGCTGCCGCGCGCTTGTGCTCCGCGGGGCGCTGGAGGCGAGGGTTACCTTATCCGCGGGCGGTGTGCGGCGGCTTAGGCCCCGGGCGCTCATGGCTCACTCGGTATCGGCCGCGGGTACGCTGCTCCGCAGGGGACAAAGCAGCAGACGCCTCGCACGTCTCCCGGGCAACACTGCAGCCGGGCAGCGGGTCCTGGAAGACCCCGCGGCAGCTCCCCGCAAAGTAGCCGGGGCGCGAGGGGAGTCGGCTCGTCTCGCACCGCGCGGCTGCCTACGGATCTGGTGGCTCTTGCGGTGTCTCCGCGGGAGGAACGAGCGGGACGCAGCACCGTTCCCCGGCAAGTTTGTTTATGCCGCTGCCAGGACCAGCCCCCCCGGGCGGAAGTGCCCTCGCCACCGCCTCCTGCGCATGCGCAAGTCTCCGGCTTCGTAGTATCTGCGCAGGCTTAAAGCGGCCGGTCGCGGGGTGCAGGTCTCGTGTGTCAGCGCCGGGGCCATGGGCAAGCTCAACGTGGTAATGCTGCGGTACCTCGCGCGGGACCACTTCCGGGTGCTGACTGCGGTAAGGAGCGGCCTGGCTGCCTTCGTGGTGCGCCCGGCAGCACGGCCCGCGAGACTAAGGGGTTGGGAGGGGCACCTTGCTGGATGGGAGACCGGGGCGCGCCGGGAGAAGGAAGGCCGCGGTGTCCAGATATTCAGATCTGTCTCCTGCAACTGCGGCAGACTCATTCTCCCCTCTGGATACAGGTGGCTAGAGCTGGCCTGGGTGCCCCGTCCTGTGTGGAAGGCTTCCTGTGAGATTTCATTTCAACTCATCCGTTGAAAAGCAAACACTTTGAGGGAGATGCTTCAGCCTGGCAGCCACCAGTCATCTGACAGCATTTCATGAGCTGTCACAGGGCAGGCCTGACTGGCATGAGCTAAAGAAGCTGATGGCCAAAAGCACCTGCTCTAATACAGGCACTGCTGGTACCACACCTTGAATTCAAATGGCAGTAGCAGTGGGAGCAAATCCTTTGCAAAAACCTGTCCCCGTTCCTGTACTGCTCCCATCGCTGTGGTACTGACACAAAAGAATCTCTTTAGTAAATCTGAAGCTTCCAGGAGCAACAAAGTGAAACTTAGAGAAGAAGGCATCGTTATAACACAATGTCTAAAGTTGTGATTCTCAACCAGAGTCCCTTGAGATCTTTTCAAGAGTGCCATGTGTTGGGCTGAAACTCAAGCCCTACTTCTCTGAGGGCAGGGAGAACTCTGTGATTAACCCACAGTACTAGTCCAATAAACAGTCAGAAGCTTTATTGACTACAAGTAAAAGCAACTGATCAACTAGGTTTGCCAGTAAATAAGTAGTCAGCTTTACTGGGTTTGCCAGAGTGTAAGCAGGCAGTCACAAAAACTGTGCACGTTAACATGAATCTCACTGCATCACAGTCTGTCAAGAGCTGTTGCTCAGGAGTCACTCCCCGCAGTTAGCCGCGCTGGGTGAGCTTCCTGGGTTGTGCTGCTCCAAGTCTGAAGGCTTGATCTTCCCTTAGAGATCCATGCAGATGGTAAAAATGGCAAACAGCGATCTCGCTTGCTTATGCTATTTAACCCTTTTGTGATGTCACCCTTTCTAATACTAGCCAAGCTTGTCATGCAATGTTTGATGTATAGATCATAGGTTTACAATAGAACATCCTTACACACTTGGAGTATTCTTCTGTTGTTGTCCTGTTCCCACACTAATTAATCCCAATGGACACTACGTTATCATCTCAATTTATTGTTTTATTGTTGTGGATATTCCCTGGCATTTTAGTGGGGTTAACTTTAAGACCATCATTGCCAGTCTTTAACTGAATCATCTCAAAAAGACTTCTGGGAGCTTGGTCAATTTGACATGACCAGATTTAATTTTCCTTGCAGCACCTTGGAGTGCCACGCCATGTGCCAACATGATTCATGGGGTAAAACTGGAGATTTTAGTTAGGAATCCAGTGTTAGAGGCATTCTGACCAGTGGTAGCTTTCTGAGTCTTTTGCAACAAGAATTGCTGTATTATTTTTCCGCACTCAAATAAATAAATAAATAAATAAAAAGTGAAAACTAACAGCTGGCATTTTCTGATGGGTGCCCTGAGTCTAAAAAGGTTGAGAACCACTGCTTTAAAGTAAGCAACAGAAAAGTTGGGTTGCAGTCACCCAGGGTTTCCAAGCTGGGTCCCATTTTGTGGGGCCTTGCAACTCCAGTTGAATTTCTCTTAGCAACCCTGGTTTACCACCCCCTTGTTTCAGATTCCCTGCTGTAGGGACTGAGGGAGAAACATTCCTCCTGTCATCCATCACTCCTGTTGGCTTTTAAGTAATGGTTTTTTCCCTAAATAGTATGGAAGTTGCCTGCTGAATTTCCCAAGTATGAAGCACACCAGAGGGTGTATATTTATGTTCCCCCAAAGAAGAGGTTTTCCATGTGCATTATCTATCATTTTCTTATCAAACAACTGTCTCATTACTGCTACTGAATTTAAATGCAGAGTTAATACAAGAAAATGTATGCTATTTACCATGTGGGGTTCGTATCAATTTATCTGCAAAAATAAGCTTAGGCTTGACATAGAGAATGACTTTATTTCATTGGCTAGTCAAAAAACTGTTGTACATCTAACTTTTTTTTATTTCTATTCCAGGTGGAAATGGGCATGAAGAACCATGAAATTGTTCCTGCTAATTTGATTGCTTCCATAGCTAGCCTTAAATATGGCGGATGTAACAAAGTTTTGAGGGAATTAGCAAAGCACAAACTCTTAGCTTATGAACGAACTAAAAGTGAGTATGAGTCCCACGTTAGCATTTATGTTCTATTTTAAAGTGTTGACTTAGTTCAGTGATATAATTGCAGCAATATTCTGCTGAGTTAAAAATTTAGCAAAGTTATGGGTGTTGCACAGGTACTCTTGCACTTTTCAATGAGGTCTGCTTCCCAGAGGAACCAGCCTTTGGTAGTTCAGTGACTAAGTAGCTGAATACATTTATATCTTCTCTTATCCATTCCATGTACTGTGATATTACAATGCATAGCTTACATATATGTAATCCAAAAAGGATTACATCAGAGTGGCCAAACTGTGGCACAAGTGGCACGGGCAGCCTCTGTGTGGGGCACGTGGCAAGTCAGGAAGAGGACATGCAGCACAGTAGCAGATAGGGCAGGAGGCTGAAGGCAGAGCAGGAGATGAGCTGGGGAGAACAGAGCAAGAAACAGAAAGCAGTTCAGATAAGAAAAGGCTATTGGAGGGTGCAGGGCTAATATGTGGCACTCCTGCCAAAAAGGTTGGTGCCCATTGCGTTACTTTGTCGTATTATCAGTAATGTAAACGATTTAGTACAGAAACATTATTTTTCATATCAACTTACATGGGCAGTTTATATAAAACAATTCAGTGTTTCATGTTCTAAAGAACGACTATAGTTTTATCGAAAGAGAATATCCTTTCGTTTATATCATGTATCCTATCCTTTTTACTGCAAATCTGTGCCTCTTGCAAGAAAAGAACAGTGTGGAAGCAGATACGATGTTTGTTAGGGGGACAGAAAAAGGTTACCTTTCTTGTTTTGGAGGGATGGGGAGTAAAACTTCAGATCATACTGCCAAACCATTTGTCTTTCTCTGTATTAGAAGAATCCAGTAGTCTTGTATTCCTCACAGTCTCCCTCCTCTTCTGCCTTCACTCTCCACCAATTTTTTCTTTTTTTCAATCTTCCTTGGTACAGTAATATTGTATTATTACCATATTGCTTCACTGCCTTCATTCTGGAGCCATCTCAGAATGAGGTTTTTTGTAAATTTTAGTTAGGTAAAAAGAAACATTTGAGACTACTTACAGCATGACATGATTTCAAATGAAAGACCTGTATTAGAGGTGGTATGTAAATAACAATTAATAGTATTTCAACCATTTGATTCTCTCTTATTCAGCTGTCCAGGGTTACCGACTGACTAACACAGGGTACGATTACCTTGCTTTGAAAACTCTGTCTTCTCGACAAGTGATTACTTCTATTGGAAACCAGATGGGTGTTGGTAAAGAATCAGGTAAATATTTTAAATGCACAGAACTGTTATATTACTCATGTCTCATGAGTAATCCGATAAATCTTTTTCAGGATAGATTCATTAATTTACCAGAAATACATTGTCACTCTGTTTGAAATACTGCACAATGCTATCAGTTTGCTTTCTTCTCAAGAATGACTAGAAAATTTCCCCTTAACTTCATTATTTTATTTAATACTTAAGTAGTCATTTGAAATGCTAGTTTATAGATGGGTAACGTTTATTGCACATTTATTGAAGAGCATAATTTCTTTAAAGACCAGCGGACAGCTTGCAGAAAGCTCTCAAAGGCACTTAAGTGAGATTGTGGAGCCATTAAGTTAATGTGAGTTCTGCCATTGACTTCATAGGGCTGAAATTTCACTCTTTGTTTTGATACAATGCTGTTTCTGTAGGATGTAGTTTGTCGTCTTTGAAGATAAAGAACAACTACACATAGTTTAGAATTCTGGTTTCTAGTGCTCCATCTGCATTAAGGATAAATGCTGCAGAAGCATGGTTTTAGTTCTCTTTTCCTTGTAAGGTTACATACACTGAACTGTTTTCCAGTCTGTTTTGGTAAAATGGTGCATCATCAGCTTCTGCAGCCTGCCTGGAAGTGAGATTGGATCCCAAGGCAGAATAAGAACTGGCCAAGTAATAACTTGATAGCTCTTAGCCTTGTGTGAAATAGGTAATCTGGATGGGTTTTAAACAGCATTAGAAGGAGGAAGGGTATTGTGGAACTGATTTGAGAAAGCCAACTACATTTCTAAAGAACTATTTAAAATGTCTGGATTCCTGTTGCACCAGTATGCAAAGAATCGAAGAAAATACAAACACTATTGAGATTTTTTTTTTTAAATCCACAGTGCTAAACAAGTTTGTGCAACAAAAGGAGCACTTTTGCGTCTATATGTAAAGTGTGAACAAGTTGCAGGTGCTGGAACTAACCGTGATAAAATGTCAGACTTTCTTACTAATGACAGGGTTCAGGGGTTCCTTGGCTTCTATAATTTACTCCATATTCAGAGCCACTGTATGATGCCTACACTAAAATTTGTCTTACCTCATGAAGGATCATTTCAAAAGCTTGGGAACAAGTAGAAGAACATGACGTGTTCTTTTTCTTTCATTCTGACATGCCATTGGTCATATCAAAATTGACTCTATTTAAGTATTAAAAATGTTTCTAGCATTATTAGGACATTGGTTTTTCACATTTAGATTTCAATAGATGTAGCTGCTGTTTGTGCCCTGGTATTGAACTGATATTCCAAAAGCTTGTTCTGGTGAACATAATGAATGAACAAAATGTGGCATAGAAAACTAGCCATTTTACACAAACATTTAACGTTTTTGATACTTATTTAATTTTTTTTCATTTTTATAGATATTTACATAGTTGCAAATGAAGAGGGGAAGCAGTTTGCATTAAAACTGCATAGACTCGGGAGGACCTCCTTTCGTAACCTGAAAAATAAACGTGATTACCATAAGCATCGACACAAAATGTCCTGGCTGTATTTGTCCCGCCTGGCTGCCATGAAGGAATTTGCCTACATGAAGGTATTTTGGTCATAAAGGCAACTGTTCATACCCAGAAGTTACCAACAACAAAGTAGCAGACTAGAAAAAAGGATTCATAGATGTTAGGGTCGGAAGGGACCTCAGTAGATCATTGAGTCCGACCCCCTGCATGGGCAGAAAAGAGTGCTGGGTTCAGATGACCCCAGCCAGATGCCTATCTAACCTTGTCTTGAAGATCCCCCAGAGTAGGGGAGAGCACCACCTCCCTTGGGAGCCCATTGCAGATTTTGGCCACTCTAACTGTGAAGAAGTTCTTCCTAATGTCCAGCTAAATCTGCTCTCTGCTAGGTTATGGCCATTATTTCTTGTAACCCCCAGGGAAGCCTTGGTGAGTAGAGCCTCACCAATTCCCTTTTGCGCCCCCATGATGAATTTATAGGCAGCCACAAGATTGCCTCTCAACCTTCTCGTGAGGAGGCTGAAGAGGTCCAGGTGCCGTAGTCTCTCCTTGTAGGGCTTGGCCTGCAAGCCCTTAACCATATGAGTGGCCCTTCTCTGGACCCTCTCCACGTTATCCACATCCCTCTTAAAGTGTGGCGTCCAAAACTGGACGCAGTATTCCAGCTGTGTTTTTCAGGTCCTCTTTTATTCATATCTGCAGCACCAAGACAGTGTTTATAACCCTTGCTAACCCTAGTTTTGAAGTTAGTGTTTGTATTGTAGATGGGATTCCTAATGTGGACTTCCAGCAAAGTGGAGCCATGGTATTATAGTCTATTGTAAAGCAAAGTGTTTCGTGAAAGAATATGAAATGAATCTCATGAGGCAAGAATTTTTGTGGGTGGATTTCAGAAAAGCAGTTCTTAACAAGCGCAGGGAACTGGTGGACAGGATCCCCTGGGAGGCAAGTCTGAGGGGAAAAGAATCCAGAAGAGCTGGCTGTACATAAAGGAGATCAGCCTGGGTAGACTGCAGTCTCTTTAATGAACTGAAACTCAAAAAGGAATGCTACAAGAATTAGAAATTCTGTTATTGTAGTAGGAAAGAGAGGTTTGTAAGAGTATTGCACAGGCATACAGGGGAAAAAATTAGGAAAGCTAAGGCACATTTTGAAATGCAGCCAGCAAGGGACGTAAAAGGAAATAAGGGATTCTGCAAGTATGTTAAAAGTAATAGGAAAACAAGAGAAACCATAGGTCCCTTACAGAATGTAGAAGGCAGTGTCATTACAGATGATTTGGAAAAGGCTCAAGTGTTTAATGCCTTTTTTTACTTCAATTTTCACAACTAGGGGAAGCTACCAGATGCGAGCCATTGGCAGCAAAATACTGAAGGACACGAACAGCCTAGAGCAAGGATGCTTAATCCCTGGCCTGTGGGTCATCCAGCCCATGGGGCTTCCCACGGGTCTGGACATTTGACTCCAGGGAGTGTGGCAGTGTTTTCTTGCCACCAGATTTCCAGACCCATGGTGCCCAAAGCCAGCATGCAGGGCCAGGTGCCAGCCCCTCAGAGCCCCAACATTCAAATATGTAGAGAGTAATTATAAATTCAAGCTGCCATAGGGGAAATGTAGGTCAAAGATTAGGAGGAACTTCCTGACTATGAGTGTCTGACAATAAGAGTCAAGCATTGGAACAGGCTACCTAGAAAATTATGGAATCAACATCCTTGGATAAGATTATTTTAGTGGTTGCCTTCCAAAAAATTCTGTAGCACCATTAGTAGGTATGGCTTACTGGGCTGAAAATGGCAAGGTTTGTGTTCATCTCAATATCTAGCAATTAGGGAATGGCAACCTCTAAGATTTAACCCTGTGAGAACAATAAGCCTAATACAGTTCTACAGTGTCGTTCTGTCTCTCTATAGAGTCCTTCTCTTTGCTGTATAAATGTCATTTCCTGTTTTATTATAGCACTGTTTGATTTTTGGTCCTCTGCCTAAGTGGCGGGAGCTATTAGGTGAGCAAAGTTTGTTAGAATTGAATTCTAGCTACAATCAAATTATGTTATCAGATACCTTTGTATTCTAACAAGTTTATTTGATTAGGATGATGTTCTTCTCCAATAAAAAAAAAAAAACACATAGTCACTTAAGTAGGACTTAAGACAAGTGAATAAGAGTAATTTTTTCTCATATTGAATTTATATATATATTTAAACAGTACGCAGGATGGATCTTAATTGTTTGTATATTTCATTCATCCTGAAACAGTATCTCTGCCTTGTCTGTATCATGAAAATTCTGTTGTTTGTAATATATCTTCTTTTTACATGATAAAGTCAAGCTATTAATGATTCTTTCTGGATCAGGGTTCTGCTTAAAGCATGGTAGATGCTGTACTTTCACCAGAAGGCCTAAACTGTGCCGCTAAATATTTGCAACTTAATATAGAGAACTTTCCTGAGAATTAATGGATTGCCTTGTTGTTCATTAGTTTAACCTTCCAGTATGTTTTGTTTTCCTAGGCTTTACATGATAGAAAATTTCCTGTTCCAGAGCCAATAGACTACAATAGACATGCAGTAGTTATGGAACTTGTTAATGGTTATCCTCTGTAAGTACTTGCACTTGAACTGTTAATTTCCATTTAAAACTCAGTTGCAAATAATATTTATGGAAATCCTCCTGGAAGCACTTGTTTAGAGATACTGATTTAGTAGTGTAGGTAAAAAAGATATTTTGTCAGGAATCTCTGATCTTGTTTTTTTTTTAGTCCATATGAGGCAAATTGTGACTTCACAGCACTACTCATGGATCAGTATGGTCTGTTGAGAAAAAAGGTTGTGTTGGTCTACCCAGAACAACATGATAATGTAACTGTCCCATTTCGGGTTTGGGAACTTGTGCATGCTGAAAGAGAGCACAACATGCCACAGCACAGCATTGCCTTGCACTATATAGATATGCCATAAAGGTATCGGGCGCTTGCAGCCCAATCTCACTGTGGTTACAGAACAGCATTGAAAATCTAGTTTATATGAAGCGGAATTGATTTATGCTGTTCTCTCTTCCCATCTCATCCAAAGAAATGGATTTTTCCTTAGTCCAATCAAAAACACTAAAGCAGTCTGGAATATTTTTTACTAAAACGCAGCTTACAAAAACAGTAATGGGACAACTTACTTTCACTTCTGCTCCTGGCAAAGAATTTTTTTCCCAAGCATGTCTTGTGTGGTCTGTCTTCAGCATCAGTTCTTAAAACTAACTCAACTTTATTACTTTTCTTTCTGAATTTGTAAAGCAATCATCTTTTCTTTTACGTATCCATACTTTTGTATTCTAACAGCAGTGCTAAAAGCAAATAATCTTAGGAGAGGTTATTTAAATTGTAAGCAGTGGTTACCTATTATCCACAAATATTTTAGAACCTTTAAAATATCATTAAAGTTAGCTTGTGAAGGACTGGTTTGGTTTGTTTGCACAGTTGAATACATAAGGCCAGTTTGGTAATGGAGATAGAACTGATACAACTTCTTACCCTGCACCCAAAAGTAAATGAACTATCATTTTAGAACAAACCAGTTTATATTCTGTGTTACAAGGTAGGCAACTGAAGTAAGTTTTTTTTTTTTTTGCTTTGGGGGGAGGGGGGGTTGTAGCGTAACCAACAGGTTGGCATCAGAGTATCCTGGAGGAATTCAAGTGAACTTAGAAATCAGAACATTTCTGGTTTTAATCCTTCATTTTGCTAATTTAATTGTCTGACATAAGTTCAAATCAATTCTGGTTTAAACAAGAATGAGTTCTGCAGCCTGAGTTAAAATCAGACAAGTTGTAATCTGTGCCACAAATATGACAAAGCAAACAAAACTCTAAAAGAGTACAAATATGTCTTGTCTAGATGTTTTCTTTGGCCAAAATGTAGGTATTCTCCCAATTAAGGAGAAAAATGTATAAAAATTACGGAGTTCTTAAGTCTGTATATTTCTAAGCACCATAAGAAGGCCCAATTATGTTGCTAAATCAGACTTCCCTGAAAGTCTGACTTTAAAACAAAGATTTTTAGACTTGGGTAAAAATCTCATTAGACAGTCCAGTCTTCAGATAGTACAGTGTGTGTTGAACATGTGGTCGGCTGGTATCCTTACACTTGTTTTCAGCTTGGAAGTCTGTCTAGTTTTGCAGTGTAGCGTTCATTCATTCCCTTAATAGTTGAATATTTTTTAACGTTTAGGTGCCAAGTACGTCAAATAGAAGATCCTGCTTCTACGTACAGTGAGCTAATGGAACTAATTGTAAAACTTGCCAACCATGGCTTGATTCATGGTGATTTCAATGAGTTTAATCTTATGTTGGATGATGAGGACCAGGTCACCATGATAGATTTCCCTCAGATGGTGTCAATATCTCATCCAAATGCTGAATGGTAAGTATCAAGTCTATTTGACTATGTAAGATTGATTTAAATTTGTAAGCACTGACTTTTCACATTCATGTATCCTCCCTAACTTTCTTCTAGAAGTGTAATCAGGTGCCACAGAATGTACGTGGGATGATTATCATGTGACAGAAATGTTGGTTTACAGTGAATATGTAGATAGTCAGTTCTTGCAGAGATTCTCAGGTTACTTTCAAGGAAAAACAAGCATAAATGAATGCTGTACAGTTAACTTCTCTCTCTCAAGTTCTCTTTTTTTAGTTATGTACTCACCACTTTGTCTTTTTCAAATAAAACAGACAAAAACTTGATTATAAACAGTGATTTCCTTACTAATGATGTCCTTATGAGAACAACTGTGTTTAATAATAATAGGTTTGATACAGCTGGAAGAATCTCATTATTCTAAAATTTGGAAAACTGTATGAGGTGAGGGGTGTGGAAGGCCTAATACATGGATACTGTTAGAGTTTCTAATAATGGAAATTGTGATGTGAAGGTTGGTGTTTTACAGAATTACCAAATTGGTTGCAGACTTGTAATCTTTCAATTCTAGGCAATATTCTGTTTTCCACCAGGTATTTTAACAGAGATGTTAAATGTATTCAAGAGTTTTTTAAGAAGCGTTTCAGCTACGAAAGTGAACTTTTTCCAACTTTCCAGGATATTAGGTAAGAACTTTAATCAAGAAACATTTCTTGTTTCTGTGACTGAATGCCATTTGTACCAGTTCTGTGTACTGAGAAAGCTGACTAAAATGTTCTGATCTGGTTTTCAGCAGTTCACTGTTAATGACTTCCATGAATAATTTTGACATGTTTTTGCTGGAAAGTTGTTGTGAGAAGAGTGAGCTGGACTTTAATCTTTTGATGATGTATAAGGCAAAGTTGTTAAATGAATTCCAGAGCTTTCAAAATAGAAATTTTTTTTTAAGATATATCTCTGTCCCTTTTTTCAAATGAATAACAAAACCATTTTGAGCACATGTGATTTGGAAATTGTTCAAATAATAAACATTACTATGCCATTTTCAGTGACTTCAGAGGGGGGAAGCATACTATAATGTGAATGTGCTTATATATAATTGGGATATGTTCAGAATGAGAGTTTTGGGGTACATGCTTTATGTATACAATATAATAACAAACCTAACTTTAAATCGTATTAAAATTGACTTCTGCTAAAGTCAGCTGATGAAAATATTGTGCAACCGGATGGTTGGAAGTGATTGGGCAATGAGTTTAGCATGTGGACGTGCACATAAATGAGATTGTATTTATATCAGGCCACTTGTATTCACATTAAGTACAGAACTACATGGTACCATTTCCACATGTGTAAGGCCATAAACAGATGTTGCCAAATGAAGTGGATCATCTGTACCAGGATGTATCCTAGTACAGCCCATCCACTTCATTGGACAAAACAGATATTGCCCATTTTCCCAGATCAGGGCCCTGCCACTCATGGAAACAGCTGGAACCAGTCCTGTGGGACAACATTCAGGGCACCCCTCTGCAAATGGAGAAACTCCAGGTTTCCTCACTAGTACAAGAATGCCCTGGAAATCCCCAGGCAGTTCTTTGCTGGCAGAGAAACCCAGGGTTACTCTGTTTGTGGAGACATACCTGGAGTGTCAAATTTGCTCTAATGCGGTCCAAGGACCACAGTGGAATATTAATGCTCACCTGAGGAATCTGGAATGGGAGAACTTGGGCAGGCATTCCTGGGTTTTCAGGGGCCTGATCCTGCATGTCCCTAGAATGGGAATTACTGGGGTGCACAGGATCAGAACCGTTGAAGCCCTAGGTGTGCCTGCCCAGGATGCCTGGAGAGCATGGGCTACTCTGGGCTGCACATACTCTCCTGGCTTAAAGCAAACAGACATTGGCCTTAAAACAGCAGCACAAAAATCATACCACCTGTGCTGCTGCCACAAAAACGTTTATGGCAGGACAAATGCAACCCTAAGCATGACAAGACTATTAATATCCTACTATTAATCCTTCGGTACTGACTAAAGGATTGTACACTTTGGTAATTTCAAAAATAAATAAAATGAGTACTATGTACTGATTTACTACGTTGAGAGCATTCTCATTTGTGCCTCTATCTTGTTCTCTTTTTCCAGGAGAGAGTGTTCTCTCGATGTTGAGATTGCAGCAAGTGGCTATACAAAAGAAATGCAGGAGGATGATGAACTGCTTTACCCAATTGGCCCTGACAATGATGAACATAAAGCAGAGTTCCCACCACTTGTTGATAACGTTGGGCAGAAAGTAAAGCTGTCTAGTTCAGATGAAGAGGATGAAAGAGATTTCACAGATGAATCAGATGATGACCTTGAAAATAGATCCACCAAAGACCTAATATCTTGTGGTGGTGATGATGATGATGATATTGGTGAAAGTAGTAAAAACACACAAAGTTTAGATGTTACAGAGTTGGTCCATGCTGTAAAAGAAGTTGAAGGACACAGTATAGTAGAGAAAACCAGTTGCAAAGAGCATTCTATAGTAGATCTTTCTGAGAGCAAGAAGAGAACTGAAGCCACAAGTGAAGATTGGGAAGATCAGGAAGGTCTTCACAATAAGGATTATGAAGATGAATGCCCTGATCTGGTTGACTTGTCAACATTAAACAGAGAATTCAGGCCTTTCAGGTATAGAATCATACTAACTGTGTCAAAGAGATTCTGTCTATTCTCCCCTCTTCCCCTTCATTTGACCTTTTATGAGTAATTCAAGAAATGCTGCTGTGCAGCCACACTTGTTGCAATAGAAAACAAAAGAATTTATTAATCTTTGTTCTTAAAACAAAATAACATCTTTCTTTCTTTTGACCTGATGCTGGTTAATCTATAGAGTAATATTAATGTTTATAATACTTTTTAGTGAGACAGATGAGTTGACCTACTCCTTAATACTATTATAATAAATAGTCTTGCAAGCCTGAATTAACTCAGCTTACCTTCCACAATTGAGACACAAAAAAAGAAATAGCTAAACTGATTTGTACTAGTGAAAAAAGTGCATCACATTAGAATATTCCTTATATAATAACTCTTGCCATATAGTTTGCACCTAGAATACTTTTACCTGAAATTAAATTCTTCCCGTTAAGATGAGCACAGATTCCATGGGATGTGTTATCCAGTTGCACTAATATTAATATCTGTTATTTTGTACCTTAATTTCTTACCTGGCCTGTTTAGAGTTCCCTGCTAACCTGCATCCTAGATCCTCTGTACATGAAACCATAGCTCAGTAAAAACATTGAATCTATAACAGAATGAGTACAGATCACTTCCTTCCCCCTTAGCTCATCTGTCAGTGTTTAATTAAATGATTAGCATGGGCTGGTCAGCACCCTGATGTCCAAAGTGACATAGATAGCCAATATTAAACTAGTATTTTTATATCATGCACACTACCGGCAAGGGAATTGGAAATAGATATCATGTGTTTCTACGTCTAGGCTGGGAAATGCTGCTTTCATGGCTTGTTTCAGCTTCTGTCCTTGTATGATTTGAGTTCTTCCCTTTCCCACTGCTTTAGACATGTTGGAAATTAGTATTTTAGTCATAGAAATGCAACATTTTTTTTTCTCAGCTAGCTGCATCTCAGCTTGCTGTGCTGTGCTGACTAATGATTTTTTTTTACTAGTGAGAACATTGCAAAGTTAATATAGTGAATCTAGAAGCAAACCTGCTGAGTTCAGCTTTGCCTCATCCACCAAACAACTTCCAGTTACCAATTCTTTTTTTTCCTATTGGTGGCTAACGTTGAACAAATGCAGCTTAATTTTCAAATCTCAGTTTGAGTTTACGTTGGCAGTCAAATCCCTCTTACTGAGATAATTTGATAGGGAGATAATTGAACAAGCGTAAACTTGAAACACCACAATATCACTTTTAGTTTTCTAGAATCACATCTCATGCATTTAATATATTCTTGTCTATTGTATGAGGCATTGCATTTCTAATCTATGACACAAATTATCACTTTGATATTTCAAAAAGTAAATTTTCCATGTACTAGAAATAGTAAATTGTGCTGGACATTTTCAGATTAAATCTTTAAAACTATTAGAAAATAAGGGTCATGAAGATAATGAATTATTTGTCTGTTTTTTACTAGATGAAATAAAAATCTAATTTATATATTGTAGAAATGAAGAGAGTATGGTTCACATCAATGAACACAAAAGAAGAACCACAAGTATCACTTCAACTGGCAGTGTTGGGAGCTGTTCAACAATTCCCCCGGTAACTAATGCATACATATTTTTTAGTTTACAGCCATTGCTTGTTAAAGTTTTAAATCTTCTGATGTTACATTGTCAAAACTTGTTTTTCAGCTTTTTGGGGATAAGTCTGAATGCTTGGAGTCAGGTGTCAGTATGCTCTGTGATCCTAGAGTTTACTGTTGATTCTACCACATGTCCCAGAACTGGGTGGTAGAATCTAAGCTTTCCTTTTAACTTTTTCTATTTAAAAATACCCTTGACCTCCTGCTTGAAGATAGTCTTAAAATACAAAATATATGCCAAAAAAGTAAAACTTGGGCGGGCCAAGTATAACGTTGTGCAGTCTTCAGAACCTGTATGAAATCTTAGCTCTTACATGAACTGTCCTATTTATCTCATGTAGCGACAATTCTGAAATTTGATAACAACATGAATGTTAAAACTTATGCCGCTGTTCATCATTTCAGTAGAAGCATCCAGCCAACCTGGATGCTACCTTATCCCATTGTCCCAAATCTTGACACCTTGTGATGTACCACAAATTTCAACTGTCTCAACCTGCTACTGGGAGTACATATTAAGGCTAAGTACAGACAGTCAAAAAGCCTGAGGTAGAATCAGTTCAATATAGGCAGCTTTCCCGGCGTCCCTCTCCTCTCTCCCCCCCCCAAGCTGCATAAGTTGAACTGATAACCAAATTAACTGATGTTCAGTTTTTAATTAGGAAAGGCAGAGGGAGGCCTACACTGACCCGGGCCAGTAGGTATGGGGTGCAGAAATGCCGACCACTGAGCCAGCAACAAAACTGAAAGTGCACTTCCGCTGGCACTTCCAGTTTCACAGCTGGCACTTCCAGGGGGTGTGCATGCACTCCCTGTACATCGCCAATGGTATGTAGATTTTATTTTATGTTTCCTAATCAAAAAGATAGTCTCAGCCAATGAAGACCAGAAAGGCCCCAGATGGTATATTTGTTCTCTGGGGTCTTGCTTCTACAAGGTCCCCGTGTAAAAGATGTATAAAATGGCACTTCTGTCTGGCTCCTATGTCCTTTCATGGCAGTTACAAAGATTTAAATAGGAAAGGAATGGCATATACACATACACTTTGAATATATAATCATTCTGTACTTCAAGTAGAATAGAGAAGAATGGTATAGCATTTTTAAGTGCCCATATTAAAGCATTAGAAACAAATAACAATCCCTGTGTTTTCCATTGTGTTGTGCTCATTGTCATTCAGCTGGTGCTTGAGCCCTACCCCAGCATATTAAACCTTTTTAACATCTGAGCACTGTAAATGCAGCTAACCTATCAATCAAGCAGCTAGTTTATTTTTACTATTTGCTAAGTTTGCAGAGTATTTCTTCATACAGGGTGAGCAGTAGACTTAAAATGAAGCAAGGTATTATTTGGCCCTCTCACCTCCCCTATTCCTAAAATGTTCACATGAAATTACTTCACTGCTTGATTTCAGCAAGGTAAACCCAAATGAAATAAGTTTACTAGCTGTATTTAATCCTTCATTATGTCACTCCAGAATAAGAATAGTTTGCCTTCATCTGTCGTATTTCAGATAACTGATTTCATTTTAGAAAGCTCACTGAAAGTAAGAAAGACTGAATGATCTGTTCTGGTTAATAGGCCTTCTGCTATACCAAATGATAAAATAGTTCATTCATTTCTGCGGGCACATCTCACTAGTCAATTAAACTTTTTATGGGCTGAAATATTATATGACGGTAAATTAGTGATTATTAATCAAGTTGCAGTGTGAGCTTTTTAAGGTGCTGCAAAACATTAGCACTGTTAAGTGTGCAAACACCAACCTGTGATTTACAAGATGATAAGCCCAGAGATTTCAAATAGGAATCTATGGTGTCAAAAACATTCTGAGCCGTTGGGTCTTTCTGAGTATTTTTCCATGATCAAAAAATAAGTAAAGGCTAAATGCTGGCATTTTCTGAGGGGTGACTTGAGTCTAACGGGGAAGTGCCTTGAGCCTAAAAAACAGATTGAGAACCACTGTACTAGATGCTTTCCCCTATAAATCAGGTAGGATTGTTCAATCTACATTTCCATTGCATTTAGGATTAGAAAATAAACTGTAAATTCTGCAAACCATTTTAGAAATCTACTTTTACTCAAAAGTTCTCATAGTTGATTTCATGATCAAAATGTCAAAATTATCATTACTTTTTTGACATGCTGCCACAAAGTACACCATCTAGAAATATTTGTTTAATAATCAGTCATGGCTATGGTTATTGTTTTGATAAACTCCCTTCATTCTCAGTAGTTTCCTATAGCAAGGATTTCATTTATTAGAATAGTACTATACTATCCAGTTAACTGATGCTTTTATTCCTACCAAGTAGCTTTGTTTTATACGAGAGTGCCTCCTGGTGGTTATGTTGTCTATAGATCATTTTTCCATTTTGATTTTTAGTGTATGGGATTTCAGGATCCATATTTTTCAAGATTATTTTATATAAAAAAGGATTCAGTTATTGATGTAAATTCAGCTAAAACAGTTTCCAGAATTTAGCATGCAAAGAATGTATATTTTCATATATTATACTTTGTGCCAGATTAACAGACTGAAGAGTTGGCAACATTCCTGTGATATCTTGGGTCTCCCCTGGCCAAAAGGATGAGCTGACAGAACTAAAGCACAAATTTAGAAATTAAGTTACTTTCACAGGATTAAGGGAAAGGCATTTCTGGACCCAAAGAGAACATTTTTAAAATATTTTAGATCAAGAACCACTTGAGGTCAGTAGCAGTTATGAATGCATATGGTTCTTTGAGTGCTACCCAGGAACAGACAGAAAAGAAATAGTAGTAAAACCCAGCATTTGAGAAGCTGTTTTTTAGAAGTCTGAGCGCACACAAAGGGTTGAATCCTAATCGGCACTTGTATAGCACTTTAATGCTATTTTTGATGCTTATAAAACATGGGTGCTTATATACATACATTGAGGTTGCTCCAACGCACTAATTACAGCGCATGAGAGCATACTCAGTTTATAGATTCTGCTGGAGTATGGCAGTTACTTCTGTGTCATGTGTATCAGCATCCCTGCAGTGAAAAATGGCAGCAGGGTTTCTTGAAGTGCCCCCAAGGCCATTTCTCAGTGCAGGGATGCTGATACATGTGATGCTCTGGGCGCTTTAATTAGTACTGCCTGCCCCCCCTAACACATGTATAAGTGCTATGGTTACTAAGTAGCTCCACTTACTCCTTTCTCAGCATGCTCTATAGGCTGTACTCCGGCTTTATGTGCACTCGGACAAAATGGAATTACCTTAATGTTGGAGAAGTCCTAGTACTTTAAAAAAAAAAAAAAAACAGCTATTAAATGTTTGATGCTGAATGAGGAGGAGGAGGATGACCTTGTCAGCTTTTACCTCAATAGCTTAGTGGATAGAGCATTTTCCTGGGAAATGGAAGACCAGGGTACTCTAGGCCAGGAGTGGCCAGCCTGTAGCACAGGTGCCACAAGTGGCACATGCAGCATCTGTGAGGCACACGGCAGACTGGGGAGAGGACAGGCAATACAGAGGTAGACAGGGCAGGAGTAGGTAGCACCAAATCAAATCAGGCAGGTAGCAGAAAGGTGAGCAGCAAATTGGGTAAGGGAAAGAGATCAGAGTGTCACTTGAGGATGCTGCAGAGCTTATTTGTGGCATGCTGCCAAAAAGCTGGCACTGCCTGGAGCAGTGGGGCCAAATCTGGTGGTTAGAGTACTTTCGTGGAAAGCAGGAACTGAAGCTTAAAACCCCCTCTAGGTAATGGGGTCCTAGAATAGAAGTCTTCTATTTTCTGGCCAAATTTCAGAATCACTGGAAGAGTCCTTGTCTCCCACTCCGTTTTACTCTCAGCAGGTGTGTGTGTGTACAGTGCTCCAATTCCACCACAAGTAGAAACAGAATCCAAACTGTGCAGGAGTTCCAAAAATTGCAGGTATGTGGTTACATAAATGCCACAAGCACATGGGGGTGTGCAAAACAGGCTGTATTTGATTTGGATTCAGATTTGTCCCAAATTGGGGAGAGGGATTCAGTTAGTTGATTCAGATCACTGTCCCAGTTCGATTGGGCCGAATCTGAAGATTTGATGCTGATTCGGAGAATTGGCAGTTCGGCCACAGGCACAGCTTTAAATGTTTTTTCTACGTACCTCAAGATACCAGGCATAGGTCATGAACACTGAGATGGTGGGGCGGATGGTGGGGGTGGGGGGGGGCCCTCT